AGAGAGAGAGAGAGAGAGAGAGAGAGAGAGAGANGAGAGAGAGAGAGAGAGAGAGAGAGAGATAGAGAGAGAGAGAGAGAGAGAGAGAGAGAGAGAGAGAGAGCAGAACAAGGGAGATAAAACGAATTGTTGATATATATTATGCAATGTATGAAAATATATTTGTGGATATATTCTGTTGTGAGTGTTGTCTGATATTTGCCTTATATATGACATATGCATTGAAAGAGTCGATACAGTTATATAACTCAATGTATTTCTACTAAAAGACTGAATTCTAGTTAAATCTAATCACGAGATTCTGCTTTCTATAACTCTTTTGTCTTTTTTATATCACAATAATATTACCCAAAAAAAGTAATTTTACATTTTTCAAAATCCTATCTAAAGTTTTGTAGTTGTTTTAAATTGCTTTTTAAATATTTGTATCATGTATGTTTCTCACATATTCTGTAACAATATTTTGCATTTAAACTGCTGATCATAATGTAATGTATTTATTTTTAAATTTTACAAATGATAAATATATATATTAATTATTGCTAATTTTATTTAATTAATATATTTTTATTTTATATAATTTTAAAATACCAATATGAATTTATTTATTTTTATATTTGTTTAATTAAATTTTTGACAATATAATGAAAATGTTTGCTTTATCTATCACTTATACCATGTATGCAAAATTTTGTGAACCAAAAAGGGTGTTTACGTTAGGATTTTTCGGTGCACATCAAATATAAGCCCGTATTTTACAAAAGTATTATTACATTAATTTACATTTGAATTGTATATAACAACTCGGTTTGAATGCAGGCTTTTCGCAGCTTATTGTCTCTGTTCACAGCGATATATACCGTAATGAATGATATATAAAAATCAATCTCGATCGTTTATCTATAAAAACTAATGTATTATATGTGTCGTGAAAATTGGTTGAGTTTTATGTGTCTTACAATCAATTTGATTAAACGAAAGTAAAAACACATATAGTTTTTCATCCCTCCCATTGTCTGCGATATACTGTATGTGTGTTTTGAGACGAGAATTGAAACGAGAAAATTATATATCATTTAAAATATTAACTATTTTTTGTGTGCAATAAAGAAATTGACATCAATTTCATCCGGCGATAAATAATTGCTGGAAATTGTTTTATGGCTATTGTGTAGTATATATGGCTATCAAATCATATACTAAAACAATGGTATCATTTAAAACAATTGCACATTTGGTTGTCTCCGTGTGTACTGTATATTGTATTGTAGTTTTACTAAATTGTTTTATGGCTATTGTGTAGTATATATGGCTATCAAATCATATACTAAAACAATGGTATCATTTAAAACAATTGCACATTTGGTTGTCTCCGTGTGTACTGTATATTGTATTGTAGTTTTACGTCTCAATCATATATAATATACAGATATCTATTGAGAGTAAGTTTAGGGCAAAAAAGTATAAATTATTTTCTTATGTGACATAAATTTAATAACAAATCGTATATAACTTACAGTAATAATAATTTTCGCAAATGTTTTATTATATATAAAGTATAACTTACTGTGTATTGTCTTGACATCCATCTGGGAATTTATTTGCTCTCTCTTTCTCTCTCTCTCTCTCTCTCTCTCTCTCTCGACTATCAAATAAATTCATTAAATATTGTGAACAAAAAATATTTGTTAAAACAACTAAAAAATCTACAGTAAATAACATGTCATAAAACGGTAGTTATGTTTGTCCTAAATATCACGATCTAACGAAATGTTTACACAAATTACAAAACTATATCTAACTTTATATACATTTATGTAATTGTAATTCAAATATAAATTTATTAAATCATAATTGGGTTAACAAAAAAGAGATACAACAAGAAATGTTTTAAATATTTTAAACAAATAAAATACTAAAAGCTTTTCAATGAATTTTAACACAAATTTTGAATTTTTGCTCAAATATTCCGTTTTTAATCTATAATTAGATTTTTGAGATAAATTTTTTGCTGTATTTTTCAGCTCTAAATGTTTGCATAAAACAAATTCTTTGTTTACATTTAATACTAATTTTTTCTCATATATTATATTATCAGTAGTTTTTTGGTTGGAAATGACATTAGTTTTGGTGCAAAATCGAGATTTAAATAAATATTTATTTATGAAAATGTGTCACAAAAATCATAATTTGATTTCGTGTCGTCTCTCTCTCTCTCTCTCTCTCTCTCTCTCTCTCTCTCTCACTTAATGTCCGAGTCGTGCATATTCTACAATAAAGAGACGGTTTTTTGTTGTGTTTGGTTATGTGAGCGCACATATACTATAACATACTATACCAGTCTATCACTCATATATTATATAATGAGTTTTATTATTTATATAATTAATTGTAAACCAAAATCTTAGACTTTAACGTCTCCTAAGAGCAGAAGTAATATATACTGTAATATACTGTATATATAAAGCAGAATATTTTTTATGATTTATTTTTCATATTAAATATTAAACGCTTGGGTTTTATGACTTTAACTAAAATATTCCGAGTCTTTCCATTCATATATTCATTTTGTACTCAATAGACTGTTAGTCTCCATAATGTACTGTATATGCGATCCGATTATGATTTGTTACAAAAAATAAAATAAATAGTTCTAACTCGTTGGTCTCTCTCTCTCTCTCTCTCTCTCTCTCTCTCTCTCTCTCCCATTCACTCACTTTCTCTCTCTCACTAATTCACCACAACTTGCATTACGGAAACTTAATTGTGTCTACAAATTAATAACAGTGTTATAAAGTTATGATGTGAACAGAAGTGTTGTATCAAATGAACACAAAAAGTGAGCAAAAATTAAACGAATAAATTGAATGCAAAATCCAATTATTGGGTTATCTTAAGGGAAACGCCAAAAATAAATTGTATAACAAATGAGATGATCTCTCAATTAGTATTTGTTAACTCTTAGAGTAAAATGAGTTGCCATTCTCTCTCTCTCTCTCTCTCTCTCAGCAACGGTTCAATTGCGAGTGTAATTCAAACTGCNCTCTCTCTCTCTCTCTCTCTCTCTCTCTCTCTCTCTCTCTCTCTCTCTCTCTCTGTTGTGATACAATGTATAGTAATAGAGAGGCACTGAATTGCAGTTTGAATTACACTCGCAATTGAAGCGTTGCTGAGAGAGAGAGAGAGAGAGAGAGAGCCGTTAAAAAAGAGAAGAAAGGCATAAAAGTGTAGTACAAGAAGAAGAATGAAATAGAGAAGGAGAGGGTTGGGGAGAGAGTGAGAGAAAGAGTGGGAATATAGTGAGCGAGTGGTAAATGAGTGCATCGTTTTTGCCTCCAATACCATAAGAGATGTTCGTTTGATATAATGAACAAAACTATCCGTTGATTGATATTGCAATCAATGGAATTCGTTACACATATGTATAGCACTAGGATTGAGACGTCCGTACAATTTGCCAGAGAGAGAGAGAGAGAGAGAGAGAGAGAGAGAGAGAGAGAGACCAAAGAGAGAGAACTATTTATTTTATTTTTTGTAACAAATCATAATCGGATCGCATATACAGTACATGAGAGAGAGAGAGAGAGAGAGAGAGAGAGAGAGAGAGAGAGCAAAGGAGAATAGATAGTAAATGCAATGAATGTTTTGCTTTTATGTATAAATTGTATGTTATTATAGGCAAAGGTAGAGGCGATATATATTGAGTGCTGGAATCTTATTATTCATCGCAAAACCTAATATTATATCCAATCCTTATGAATATATTATTAATCAAATGAACAGAAAGTTGGACTCAAACGAGAAAAATATATTTCTATGATATATAAGAAGAGCAAACATTTATCACTTGAAATATAAGAATTCCTACAATATTTTCTAGCATTCTCTCTCTCTCTCTCTCTCTCTCTCTCTCTCTCTCTCATCTCAAATACACACATTTAATGCAAACTGAAAATACGATATATTGCTAAAGACAATAGGAGTTGACACAAGAATTAAGTAAAAAAATCATTTCTTTAATTTTTCAATTTATTTATTCGTTAAATATATTCAATAATTCATAAAATTTTATTTTTCACAGTATTTTTCAATAAAAATATTTAATAGAAAAGAGATTTATTGACAAAACTTTCATAGATATATATATTTAGCAAAAAAGTCTTTAACACTCTTTTTAAATAATTTATAATATATTTCTCGGTTTTGATTATCAATTTATTATTATTAATATTATTATTATGTTATACCGGAGTTGTCTGCGGAAAGGATGTACTCAACTGTAGATACGTTTCGGTTGTCTATAATAAAAAGGGAAGAGAAAAAAATATTCATAAAATACAAAATTTATATATAAATTATTATTAGTAACAGAAAAGTTATGGGGGTTTCGATAGAGAGAGAAAAATGATTGATTATAAATGTATTGAAATGAACACTATTTTTCATTAGATGGCAAAAAACTGCAGCCAAAGAAGAGGGAGGAGATGGAGGACTACTAGTATTTTTTTTCGCCACAAATCAATCATATGTTTTGCCAAAACGTTTTCATTATGAAATCGTTATATATTTTTATAAATATATTTAATCCGTTTAATTTATTTATAAAATAGTTATTTTTCGTGAATTACATCAATGATGATGTGGTGATAAGTCCTGTGGTTATCTCTTATTTTGTACATTAATCCGCTGTATAATCAATACCTTATTAACCAGTGTTGTCCCCCTATAGCCATCACCCCCTATGGATATATCGTATAAATATTAAATACTATCACTAAATGACCTTTTCGTTAGTGGCAATAATCCATTGATTGTAACTAACGATCAGTTTTTGCACATATAATTATGTATTGGTTCGTGAATGTGAGACACAAATTGCAATAAAAGTCATATAATTTATACACTCTATGTATACACTATACAAACAGTGGCTAATATTATATATAAAGTACCGATTTTTATGTTCAAAAAGCGAAAATTACGAGCTTTTTGGTCAAAAACTAAATGACAAACTCATTGGCAAACGATTTCTATGGTATATTTGAAATGTGAGATCCTTTATATTGTGTAATATGCAAAATATAGCTTATAATGTCATATATGGTTACCTCCATATCACTGTTATTATCAATGGCCGGATATTTGGCTACAAACGTATCCAAACACTGGTTGTGATGGGTTTGGACGAGTAGGACATTATCGATGCCATTATTATTGGCGCTTTGATGGCTGCCATTAATAACCGACACATGATTTGTATGATTTGTTAATAGATTTTTGTTAACAATCAGTTGGTCTGTGCGCTCATTACAGGCGACATTAGCCGCGATAATAATGTCTCTATATATCGATAATGAATTATTAGCGTTGAATCCGTTATCACGCGAATCGTTGCCATCAATAATGTGATGATCGTTACTGAAGAAGACCACACCATCGCATGGGATCACATCGGGATGTGCCGACCCGTCCGACGTGGCTATGCTGTCGTCGCTGGTCTTTGTGTTACTCTGAGATAATCTCTTGTTTTTGTACTTTTTCTTTGACTGTTTCGATGACAGCCGAGCGGTACTACCGCTACCACTGCCGCCGCACTGATCACTATAGCCATCGCCGGCGCCGCCCATACCATCGCTACTATCGCCGGCGACGTCACCGCCGCCGCCGACACCACTACCACCAGCGCTACCCCTGTGTTTGTTACGCTTTTTATTGCTTTTTTGTCGCAAAAAACACAACACTATAGTTATGGTGATAAGTATGGAGAGTATGATCAACACCACAGTTAACAATGAGATGAGTATCACTAGAATCCGGTGCGAAGACGACGTGTCGTTGGTTTGCTGTTGCTGTGAGTCCGGAGAGATGGCCGACGACTTGAATGATGGCGACTCCGGCTGACCCGCGCCCACACCCGGCGGCACTTGAGATGCGTCCGACGGTTCCGACTGAGCCATCATTGTTACCTAAACGTGATAATGCATGTTGAGTGCCATTTTTTGTAATAAATTTAATTTATTAAATCAATGTGTATATTTGCGTTAATGCATTCAACGCTTATTGTTGTTTTGTCCGCTATTGTAATGCCTTTACAGACCAGACCATTGCCTATCACTCAATAATCAATTATATTAATTGCATGAAATCTATAAAAAAAAAGTGTATTTAATGTGATTATCCGGTTTTGTATCGCCGACTCTATCTCTATGTGTATACACATGAGAGTCAATTCTGCGCTTATATAAGAGTTATATGAAACTTATAAATGAATTATTGATTGAGAATAAAATGCATTAAAACTATAAATTGAAGTATAAATAAATAAAAGCCAGAAGTTATCAAAACCCTACAGAAATATGTGGCGATTTATTATTATAGTTTATATTATTTATGCTATTTATCAATAAAATAATGTATTTTAATAGATGTAAGCGAAAGAGGAAATTATAACAGATTTTTGCCGATAAATTAGCCCATGATTTGTCTCCACCATTGGGTCTAACAGTTTTGCACACAAATTAGCTGATTATACACAACAGTGTATATATTGTGTTTGTAATCCTATTTCTCATTTAAATTCACGCAATGTATTGCCATTACTCTCTCAATAAAATGCCAATTCATATAAATAACTGGTATTAACGTTGAATTTAGTGGTGGTTTTCAATTCAATTACAACTAATACTGCATTAAGAAAGTATGTGATAGTGTTTTGCTCATACAATACCTCATTGCTAACGCCGAAAGGATTGGACACATAGACTATGAGCTGATATATGGGCGCCCATTGCATGTCCGTCACGTTGAACACCGGCTCAACACTATTGGTCTGATTGACGATAAGCCGCGAGTTATGGGAATCGCGGACTTCCAGATGAAAGTGAGTGTCTTTGACAAAGAGTGGCTGCGTTTGTGAGGCGGGCGGCGAATACGCGCACCGGATGTAAACGGCTCGACGGCCGGCGTTCGTACGGCAATCGGTCACCGGTCGGGGTATACTCTGTCCGCTGTCCGTCAGATTGAACACACAGGGCGTCAATTGGTTGGTTCCGATGGCATTGCGGGCCCAACACGTGTAGAGACCGAAATCGGCGCTCGACTGCGGACTGATGGCCAGTTTGCTCCGTAAGGCTTTGCTCGATATAGCGATCCTCCGGCGGCCGACCTCGTCGTCCATAGCGGACGAGTGCCAGAAAAAAGTCACGTTTTCGGGATTGGCGTCCACTTCGCAGAAGATGTTTGTCGGATAGGATAGCGAGGTCTCAATGATCCGCTGCTGTGACACACACTTTGGCGCAACTTTGGGCACAAAATAGACAAAATTCAATATAATTAAAATGCTTAAAACGAAAGCAAACATTGATTTCAATTGTGTAGTGAATTCTCGAGCGCTAATTATAGTCGACTCTCGGAATCTTATTATAAATTATTGTTTTTTTTGTTTTGTGAAAAATATATATAAATTCATTAATTCAGTGCCTATTATAATAAAGAGGGAGAGAGTGAGTGAGAGTGTGCTTTCGCTACAAAATTGTTTGCCTTTCATTTTGAGACATGAATAGGGAGGGCATGTATTGGGGTTACCAAATGTTGTGCCCGAAACGTGTATTGCTTATCTACTTATAGCACCGGAATATTCTTTATATATGTATACTCTAATAGATATAAATCCTATTGAAATAGAGGAGAGAGAGAGAGAGCAAAGCCTTACGGAGCAAACTGGCCATCAGTCCGCAGTCGAGC